ACTTCTTGGGGAAGCCAGCCATTTGAGGGGCCAATTGGTTTAGTTTGGGCTCATAAACTCAGGCATTGACCAAGGGGTTTGCGACCTGACGAAGGCCGGTGTGTGTTTCAGTGCGTGACGAGTTCTGGATGAGCACCTTTAGTTGCGTCCAGAAAGATCGCTCCACGACTGTAAATTGAACAATTGGGCCACAATCAAAAACCCGGGTAGATGAAGGTTAGCAAGGGGCAGTCCCAGCCAGAAATAGTTGCGGCTGCCTTCTTAATTCTTTACATGGTTCTGGGTAGACCATTGTAATACCGGGTTTTCATTGTGACTCACTTGGAGATTCATCGAATGCCTCGACAGCCATCTTGGTGGATAGAACGACTTCTTGTCTAGGTCCCCCAGTAGTGCCCTTTTACTCTTTTTTTGGGGGAGGGTTACCCTACTAAACTAACTAGACTACAGGAAAAAAAGGTACCCTTTTTGAAACCTCTCTACTGGAGAACCTAGTTATTGAAGTCCTGGCTGTAGATTGCAGTGAACCCAAACGAGACGCAGCACATAATATTTTTGTATCCAGCATGTACAGGGCTATGCAAGTCTTGGACCACTGACAAGGGCCTATGGTTCCTAGACGAGTACTCTCTCTTCTCTCTCTCTCTCTCTCTATCTCTCTCTCTCTCTGTCTCTCTGTCTGTCTGTCTCTGTCTCTCTGTCTCTCTGTCTCTCTGTCTCTCTGTCTCTCTGTCTCTCTGTCTCTCTGTCTCTCTGTCTCTCTGTCTCTCTGTCTCTCTGTCTCTCTGTCTCTCTGTCTCTCTGTCTCTCTGTCTCTCTGTCTCTCTCTGAATCCAGCATGAGTTAGGTGTGTGTTGGCTACAAATGGTTCGCCTTGCTTTTGCCGGGTGCGAGACTGGGGAAGCGCCTCCAGGATAAGGGCCGTTCCAAGCTTTTCAACGGGACGCCCGACTTGTCCGCGCGGAATCGATTCGGGCGCTGCACTCATCTGTGCAGCGTGCTTGCACGCGAGGCGACGGCTCGCGTTGTACAAAGGGCGGCTCGGGGCACATGACCAACAACTCACCGGGATTTGGACGGGGCTCCGTCCCGTTCACAAGGACAGACGATGCGTTCGGAGCAGAACCGTTCTGGAAAGGCTCCGATGCCCGGCTCTTGTTGAAGTTGTCGCCACTCCGGAAGGAGACTTCTTGCGGGTTTAAGAAGGGGGCCCGGCTTTTGTTGGGCCCTTTCGTGACTTGGGACAAAGGAGTCCGAAGTTGGGCCTCCTTCTTGAGCCGAGGCGAAGGAATATGCCTCCAGTTTCAGTTTCAGGCCTGGAGATCAGGCAAGGTTCCAGTTTGTCCGGAGAGTTCGATCAAAAACTCGAGTGCCTCCCCAAGGGAGAGAAAGAAGTATGAGTCCCCTGAGGGAGGCAAGTGGAAACGGCCGGCGCTTCCATTGGAAGTGTCCAACAGCCGGCTTTTGGCGCAAGGCTGCGCCCTTCAATTGGGGGGCAGCGAGCGCGTTGGGGCCTCTAGTTCAACGACCAGAAAACACCCATTCGGTTGCCGTTGGGTTCGAATTTCGGGAGCAAAGCGAAGACACCCCATTCAGCATCCTGCAATGCACTGCACAAGGCACCCCTTCCGTACCGCTTTCAGGGGGAACCCCATATTTCCATCCATCAATCCATCCTTCCTTCTTTCCTTCCTTTCTTCATGCATGCAGATGTGTATGTAACTTCTCTATGCACATCTATACACAGACACTTTTCTGCAGCAAGGTAGTCTGAATCTGAAATTGCCTCTGCATCAACGCCATGTATAACACGTTTATACCCATGTGTTGGAATCTATTTGGGCCAACTGCAGAGTCCCTTCATCCTTGTGCATTCCGAACGCTTTTTGGGGACTCTTTTTGGGTCACTTTCGGTAGGGGAAGTTTGGGTATCACCCCCCAAAAATGGCGGTTTCCTTGTTGGCTTAGCTTTAGACCGACCTGCAAAGCAGAACCCAAGTCACCAGCTGCTGTGGAGCCGTCCGAACCGGAGCTAAGGAGCTGGGAGTTCTGTAAGGACCATGGTGACGGCACCAGATACGAAAACTGCACGCAAATCCCCTTGCCAGTTGGAGGAACCTGGGAATCAAACCTGAAGAATGGTGCTTGTACATACCCTTTTTACATACCCCTTGCAAAAATGAACCCAAACCGAAGAGTATGAACCAGGGGTAATTCCAATCAACCTGCACACCCATTTCGGATCCACTCTGGGACGTAGACTGAGGCCCCCCACCTCTCCGGGCAGAGGCTTTCAAGGGATAGTTTCCCATGCGCCAAGACGCCGACGGATTTGCGCGCCGGAGAAGCATGGTCCAGGGCCGGTCGGGCCATGGCCATGAATCTGGTTCATTGAACATCTTTTAAGAATTGGTGGACCAAAATGTCCAAGGACCCCAAAAACGGGCCCCAAGTTTTAGTTCATAGCCACGCAAGCGCGGGCGGAGGCCCGCGCATTTGACCATGGTGGTCTACTGAGATGAATGGAAGTGGGGGGGGGGAACTCCCTTTCTTCACAAGAAAAGCAAAAAGGCAGCCTGATGCAATCTTGACTTCCCCTCACACAATACCCCTGTCGCTCAATATTCTCATGTGGAAAATACACGTTTTGACTGTCCCAAATGGCAACCAGTTCCATTTGGCTGAATCCAGTACGTTCCGATCCAATGATCTTTGGGGGGAATAGGTGCTACCGGCGGCAATGCAGACACGAGGCACGGCCAAGATGTGGTGGTACAGACGTCGTTCTCGTGAGGGTCTTTTTTTTGGTTTTGCAGGGACCCCAGAGCAAAACCGGCGTTTTGGGGGGTTCTCCAACCAAAGACACCCACATGCGGCATTCTATTTACGTCCTTTTGGCTTTGGCAGTTCCCCTCTTAGACCTCGTCGAAGTGGACATCGATCACCTTGCACGTGTCTTGGAAGAGCAGAACGTCCCACATGCCATGCCCCTTGGGCATTTATGCTGTCTGTTTTGTCCAATTGGCAGATGTTGGCAGCCATTGGGTATGTGCCAAAATTATTCTTTTTGTTTCCAAAGGGTACACTCCCAAAACACAGCCTCAATCTGACCCTCCGACACGTCGCAGTCGGCGCAGCCTGCCTTTAGTGCCTTTGGCGTGCCTGCGCGCGCTTGCCCGTCAAAAGAGAATTTGGCGTGCGGGGGAGTGGTGTCGTCTTACTTGGAGTCAGGATTTGTTGATGTTTCTTGGATGCAGATTTGGTGGACTTCTTCTTTTGCCACAATCGTGGACGCTTGCGTTAGCTTCCATGATTGTTGGAAAGGGGGCAAGTCTGAGCAAATCATAGCCACCGCTCAAAAATGGGTTTGGTTTGTGACCGAGAGCCCACATTGCCTTGGGGGGTTCTTCACTTTAGGTTGCGCTTCTGCAACCTCAGCGAGCCAGGTTGATGGGATTCCAGTGGGAAAGTAGGAAGTCTTAGGCGGGGTGCTCACATTTCTCCTTGTCCTTGCTTCCCGTTTAAATTCATCCAAACAGGCCCCAGGGGAATGTGGCATACTTTGAGACTAGGAGCGGCGAATTGGATACATGAGTTGCTGTCGGGGGAACACCTTGTTCATCTGCCAGGTGGGTCAGCATCACCTGGCCAAAGGAAGAGTTGGACCCTGCTAGATGGCTGAGGACTCATGAGCTTTGCTTTTCATGCATGGGTTTCGACACACTGGCGCTGCTTGAGCCGGCAATTATCCTGAATGTGTCACGAAGGGTTGTCCGTGCCACAAGCGTCCGCAAGCGTTCACGTGTGGAACAAGTTAGCGTGCTGTTGGGATTCGCGAACCGTGAAGCTCCACTTTGCGTGACAGGTGCAGCCATGCAGAGCTTTTTGTCCCAGGTTCGTGGCAGGCACCGCACAGTACTTTGGAGCGGCGGGTGCAGATCTCGGGCGGTGCTTTAGAGCTTGGCGCGCAGAGTCCGTGGCAAGAGCAGGAGTTTCTTGGTTTTTAGATTTTGTGGCAGATTGAGGTGAAGCCCGAGACGAGACATGACGAGACACCGATTGCCGTGAGACATGGCGAGAAGCGTGTTGCAGGCCTTGCAGAAAAATGCCCAATCATGGCCCGAAATATGTGAGAAGAGGCATGACGGGAGACGTGGCAAACGCGCTAAAAGACGTGAGGGGACGCAAGGAAGGTTGCGAAGTAAGGCGCGAGGAGATGCACGACGAGAGGCACGATGGGGAGACGTGACAGAGAGACGTAGCTAGAGATGTGGCAAGAGACCCGACAAACAAATGATGAGAGACGTGACGTGACAAGAGATTCGGCGTGGGATGTGACAAGAGACGTGATGCGAGACGTGACGACCTACGCCGACGAGAGTTATGACGGGAAACGTGACGCGAAACATGCCCTATGACGCCACGAGAGTCGCATCGTAAAACGACGTGACGAAAGACGCGTGACGAAAGATTTGGCAAGAAACGTAAGGACAGACGTGATTCGACGTATTATTGTGCAAGAGAAGTGAGAATAATTTTGACGAGACGAGCAAGGAGGGTCGTGACGTCAGAGAGACAGGACGGACAAGGGACACAACGAGAAGCGCAACGAGAGACGTGACTCAAGGCTTAAAGTGAGACGTGACGAGAGATGTCGCCAGAGACATGACGCGGGACGAAAGACTTGAAGAGAGACGCTGCCAGAGGCGTGAGTTTCAGTGCTTTCAGAAAGTGAACCAATTTGCATTGAGTTTCGTGGTTGTATCAGGCTTTTCGTCCAGCGAGTGGCTTGCAGCTCAGAAGCCCGAAAATTACACAAGGTCGGGCATGTGCACTGCCCAGAAAAAGAGGCCGCTTTGTGTTTTTGCTAGGTCACAGACAAGTTTTGGCTTCCATCAACGATATTCATCAAGTCACTAAACTTTTTGGATTTTCCCGCGCAAAATACCCTGAACGTCTTGGAAATGTCGGGGGTTGGGTCCAAAGATATCAGAGAGTTGTTTAGATGGGGCTTATGGCCTATTTACTAGGGAAACCCGTCGTTTGTTGCAGTTTAGGCCGCCTACTTATTATGTGAATGACACGACAGGAAAACGCGTGGCCTCGCTCGGTTGGCTCAGCAAAAATCGTGTGCTGCACGGGTGCACTACTTGTGCTGAGATCAGACCGTCGGAACCTGACCAGGGCACCTTGGAAGAACGCCTTGGGGCTCGATTTGCGCTCATCTTTGGACCTCCGGGTGGCAGCAGGGGGAGGGGGGTTACCAGGATTTTCTATCAGCAACAGTGACTGGCAGCACTCAAAACTCAAACTCTGGCTCCAGTTTTGGCTTTGGTCCAACAATAGCTGCCTGCGGTGTTCCAAAGCCCTGTTGTCGGAACCGGTTGGTGAGTCGGTGTTGGGTTGATGTTTATAGGTTGGACACACATTTGGGACCTGAGGATTTTCCAGGGGCAGGATGTAGTTTCCTTCGGGCTTTGCACTGGTCTGCCCGATCCGCTCATGAAAGCTGAGTCAAACCGAACCCCACGCGAGGGGTACCAAGACTTGCCAAGGCGTACCATTTTGGGGTAGGTGCACCACCCATTTTAGTCTGTTTTAGTTTATTTTAGTGGGGATTGGGATGTCCACTTGGGGTACGGGATTTTGACCCATGGCCAAATAAGGCAACACAAGGCCAAAATGCGGCCACACCCGGCGTCAACGGTAGGGCACAAATCCGTCGTTTTTTCCCGCGGCTTTGACATGAACCGAGGGAAGTCTTCCCGGTCCGTGACGGTCCCTTTTCCCTCTCGCTGGGTTCATGGATGTTTAGGGCACTCTGCGACTCCTTTCCGACAGTTCCTCTTTTTTTGTGGGCCTCCACGGTAAATGTTTGAAAGTCTTCGGCATCCTTCACGGCTTTCTTGGGACCATGTATGGCAATCGATCCCGAAGCTACCTGGGTTTTGAGCACGTGGCTCGGGGCGGGGCGTTTTGAGGGAGCTGTTCTCTCGATCCCTAGAGGCCATGATCCAGTTTTTTTTGTTGTTGCGCCAAGGTAATTCCTGCGCAGGGAGCAGCCCCAGGCGGGGGGATTTTTTTTTTTTTTTTTTTTTTTTATTTTTTTTTTCGGTTTAGGCAAAAGCCGCTGGAGTCGTCCCGCTGCCGAAGGGATGGGTCGCTCGTTTTTTCTTGGACGTTTGGAGCTCGGTTCCGAGCGGTTGACGGCTTGACCCCACGTCGGGCGACTTTCCCCGGCCAGCGGATCGATGGCGCACATGGAGGGCTTCAACGTGAACGAGATGGGATCCGCGGGGGGCTGATGCTTTCACCTCACTCCCGACCGGTGTCCGAAGAAAGCGAGAAGTCCTGGCAGGTTCCCACCTGCTTTTGGGTTTTGCGGGTATGAACAACAACGCCTTTTGGACGTGGAAACTGGGGTACACTTCCCTCCCCAAAGGTCCTGGGCCTTGGAACTTCCGACGGCCAGCTTTCTCAACGGGAGATCCAGGTGCAATGAGCAATGCAAGCTTGCCCACAAGCATGGCAAGTATTTCGCGCTTTCTTTGTTTTTGAGTAAACCGCTTGGCGGCCGCTTCAAACAATTCAAAGCGCTTGAAAATGCAAAGCGACTCCTCGAGCGAGGCACTTGAGATAGCAAAGCACGAACACCGCGCCCCGCACCGATCGGCCTTGCCGTGCCTTGCCGCCATGGTGTCCAGTGAAGCCTGGCGTTTCCAAAAGCATGCCTCTCGGTGGACCAAAGGGAGTCGACCTTTGGAGCTTTTGGTTTTCTTCTAGGTCCCCCAGTAGTGCCCTTGTACCCCTTTTTTTGGGAGAGGTTTCCCCTACTGAAATAGACTACAGAAAAAATAATCGGTTACCAACTTATTCCAACCTCTCCACTGGAGGACCTTTTGTTTTGGCAATCCATTTTTTCGTCAGTCCTAAGGGTCCCAAAGGCTCATCGCCTGGCCCATTTCTGGGCCCAAACATGTGTGCAGCTGAGGCATGGATCGCCACGCTCTTCGCCATCATCTCGGGCTATGCGGATGTGGTGAGCCTGGCGAGATACCAAGCCTTTGCTAGCATCCTCACTGGCAACGTGATTTGGCTGGCGAGGGTCACGGTGCATCCCGCATCGACACTTGTCTTGCCCTTTTTTGCGGGGTTACTCCCACCAGCTATCATGGAAGTGCACAAACCCCCTTTCCAGGAGGAAAGTAGTCTTTCTACAGGGGTCTGTGCACTTCCATGTTAGTGGGAGGGTAAACACTTTTGTCTTGTTTTTATTGGCCTTCGGAGCTCCTTGGCCTTTGGCCTTTCCTTCATGCATTCACCTTGAGGCTGCAATCTATGCCATTTGCATCCCCAGACATCAGGAGTGTTCTCCCTGCATGTTTTTCAAAGTCCCCAAGCAAACAGATGGTTCCTCCAAGCACAGTTTTGGGTTCCATGTTCTGAGCACTCACCCTTCGCAGGATCGAGAGTTGAGGATTGCTGAACCTCCAAAGTTTCTCGGAAAGGAACTATTTCGGGTAGGGACAGCCCTTGTGCCATACGGGCGTCTCTTATAAAGTGAGGGAACCCTGCAAATGGGTTGGGTTTCCCTTCAAACTCCTTTAACATGTACCTGAAAAAGGGCGCCCTCAAAAAAAGACAGGGCCATACTGCCCTTTTTATTTTCTACCGTAGATTTTGAGTTTCCACCGTGGAGTCGTTCAACAGGATGGACTTGGCTGAAAGATCGGGACCGAGGTGCCCTTTCGGTGATTCCCTCTTGGGAGTTGAACATGATTCTGGCAAAAATTTGTTGTTTCCTTTTAAGGGTGACAAGGAACCCATCCACTGATTCGGAGCCAAAGCAGTGGGAAGGTGACGCTTCATGGTCCAGAATGGCCACTAATGGTCGCTACTAGTCACTATTAGGCCGCAAAGGCTCCCCTTGCTATGGCTCTGAATCTTTCTTTGGATGTTACAAGAAGAAATCGACTTCCAACTTCTGATTCTTTCCAACTGGGCACCAGCTTGCAATACCAGAATCGATTGAAGAACTGTTGTCATGCACCCCGTTTGACGGATGTACCCCCGGCACGTTCACAGGAAGTAACAGCATTATTGTTGGTGCTTGTGGCCAACATGGGGTGCCTATGGGCCATGGGTTATCCATGAATCATGGCTTCTGTACGAATAGTAAACCAGCAAGGGGCCATATAGCGCCCTTGGTTCACCAAGTTCTGTTTGCCTTCAAGTGACGAGAATGCCGGAAAGCCTCCCTCCCCGACCAGAAGAAGTGCGATTACTGGGATGGGAATGAGTTGTTGAACCGCGAACTACATCCCTTGCAGTTTCCTTTACGGGGATCCCTAAACGCGCTGTATGCAGCTTTTGGTTTGCTTGGCCGCAGGGTCCAAGGCCGTTTCGTGGTCCGGTGGGCAAGATCAACTCCGGCCGAAAACATGTTTGGGGCATGAAACCTCATTTTCAACTTGGGAACGAGATCTCAGAATGACAAACCTACCTGAGTATCCAAAGACCATGTCAGCCATGGGTCTTTGGGCCTTCCAGTGATCCGCTTCCGAGGAACGACAAGCACAGCGGGTGGTTTTACGCGGCTCTGTGCGGGTCCTTCGCTCTGGGCGCCTTTCTGCATCGCATCTGCGAGTTGTATTGGCCCAACCGCGGGGGCTCCCTGGCAGTGCTGCCCTTCGCCATGCTCATGCGCCCCGGACGAGTCGGAGTCACCGGCGTCGGAGTCCGGACGCGAGGTGGATTTTAGGTGATGGGTGACGTGGAGGGATGCTCCAAAAGAGGTATAGGGGTGTGTCTGTCTGTGTGTGTGTGTGTGTGTGTGTTGGGTGACGTGCGTGTTTGTGTGTGTGTGTGTGTGTGTGTGTGTGTGTGTGTGTGTGTGTGTGTGTGTTTGTGTTTGTGTTTGTGTTTGTGTCTGTGTGTGTGTGCGTGTGTGTTTGTATTTGGTTAGCGAAGCTCGAGTAGTTGGGGGGTTTGCCTTTGCTTTCCCTTAGAAACCATCAAGCAGGGGGTACCCTCAACAAATGACACCCATGACTTAACGCCTCGGGTTTGCATGTTCCCACTCTGCCTTTTTCGGATTCTCCCCATGACTTGTCTCCGGAAGATTCCGGGGACGAGGTGGCAACGCTCATGGAATGACACTTCCTTTGATGCAGAGCCCCTTTGAAGGAGCCTGGGCCCGGCAGGCAATCGCGAGGATTCCTCTTGAGAGGTTCCACATGGGATGAGTGTTAAAGAGTCATATTGCGGTGAGGCACAGGAGTCTGCCGGATTCCATTTTGTGGTCTCCACACAATGGCCATACACCCCTGAGTTTTTCTTTGGAGCAAGCCTGAGAAAGGCTGATGATGGAGACGGTGTATCTGATTGTAGACAGCGACCGCGTCTTCGACGAGCCATATCTGCGTTGGAGCGTGGTCCTGGTGTCTCCCATGTTTGGCGTGATCTCTGCGGCATGTAGCACTGGGCGCATGGGCACCCACACCACCATGGTCACGGGCCACGTCTTGACGATCTCCGGCCTTCTAGGCCTTGGCTTGCTTCGAAAGGACCCAAGGTTCACCGCTTTAAACAAAATCCCTGCGTATGAATGTGGGGGTGCTTCTCCCTAATTTTAGTGGGAATTCACTTTGGAGATTAATATGGCTATGGGTCAAAATTGCGCAAACCACCAGGATATGGACCACAGGTTTTAGTCCTTGCACTTTACCAGTGGAACCCATTTTGGATACCTGACCCACAGGGGTGTCCCTGGCTTTAGTGGGGATTCATCACTTTTGAGGGAAACACCCCCCCACGTTAACAAACAGGGGTTTATCAATCCGGGGTCAACATTGAGGGGGCCTGGTGCGGTACCTGCCTTTGGTGCAAGATCCAAACCTGGACGAGTGGCACGGTGATGTACCGTCCAGCACCCACCCTCCCACGGAAATAGATTCAACACCAGGTCTGAAGTTCGGATTTTGATGTAGTTGAAGACTCATTGTTTGGAAGCTGCCAGTTCGCTCAGCTTTCGAGTGGGAGTGTCTCTTTTTGGGGAATCCCCCCAAATGGTAGTAATTCTTATGATTTCACTTAGAATCCACAACAGTAAATAATGGGTGCCCTCAAAAAAGTCACAGCCAGGGAAACGCCGGGTAGGCAATCTAGTCTTTCTCAGACAGCTGCGCGAGCCGGAGATCCAAAAGCTGATCATGAGCCTTTGCGACTGGTGTCCTTTTCACGCTTGGTGATGGATTCCACTAGGGTCAATTTTCTTCTCATATCCATCGCTTCCAACCCCCAAAGGCCTTGGCAAACTCGTTGTCAACTATGTGCCATCAGCCTCCTTGACGTGTTGGCGGTGCACTTGGGGAATTTAGACCGCTGCAAGGGTTGCTAGACAGGAAACCATGCAACCATGGCAAACATGAGACGTTTTGATCAGCTATCGGAGTTTGCTGAATAGGGACCCTCCAAACGCGTGGCTTCCTGAACTTGCGAAATCGACCAAAATGCAATTTCCCAACCCAAACGTTTTCAAAAGCTTCTACTTCCATTTGGGGGTGTCTTATGTATTTTTAGGGACCCGTTTTCCTTTTGGTTCTCCTTAAAGAAGCAAACCCAAAAGGGTACCCTCAACAAAAGACACCCATTTTGCAAGTGAGGAGCACCATGGTGATTGCTGGAACCATAGGTGGTGCTTGCTTGGGCGGTTGGATGGTGATGACAGTGAGCTTGCACGTGCTTTTATTCCCGGTGCCAATCATCACCTACGTCCTGCTGTGGTTGCATCTTGGCCCCATGGGATCATTTTGGAAGTTGTTTTTGCTTTTTTTGCTTTTCTTGGCCCCATGTGATCTTTTCTTTTTCTTTTTGTTTCCTCTTTTTTATTATTATTTTAAATTTCTGTATTTATTTTATTTATTTGCTGTTTGTTTGTTGTTTTTTGCATAAGGTTCACTGCTTTTGTGTGCGACTCTAGAAAGGGTACCCCAACAATGGCTTTGGTTTTTCTTTGGGCTTCTCCTAAAACACGCCACAAGGGCGGGGGGGATCTCAAAGAAAGACGAGCCCCCGACATGGACCATGGAGCCTTCAATCCTGGGGCAAAGCCTAGGGAAACCGCCAGGACTCGAATTGGGGTATGGGTCAAATAAAATTACCAGGATATGGACCGCAGCATAGGTGTCCTTTCTGGTTGTTTTGGTAGAAAAATAGATGGCCCTGGTTTTCCTGGCGGTTTAATCATCTACCAGGGCCATCTATTTCACCTAAAAGGACACCTATGGACCGCAGGTTTTAGATGGTTCCAGATGGTTTTTGAGATGGGTCAACATTACACCAGATCTGGACCGCAGGTTTTAGTCTTTGGTTTCATTACCAGGGCAACCCATTTTCGCATTTTGTTAACCCACCGCCAATTGGTCTCAGCTCAAAGCGGAATACGAGCCGCCGCCCATCTCCGTTGCTGTCAAGGGAAAGTTGCAAATGGGAGAAGTCATGCCACATTTTGCCGGTACACATGGGTATGGGTCAAAACTAAACCACCAGGATATGGGCCCCAGAGTTTATGCTTCCATTTACCAGGGTTGATTTTGGGATATTACCCTCCCGTCCACTAACATGGAACCCACCAGAAGGTCCCTTCTGAAGGAAAATGACCTCTCAGGCAGGTTTCGTGTTAGTGGAGGGTACCGGTACACATGGGGTTCATTCGCGGGATGCGGGATGCATAATGCAGAATTGCTGTGGCTTTCTCACGTTTTGGAGGGGCAGTCGTCGCCTGAGGCATGACCACCTCTGTCGCCCGAGATCTTTGATCAAGAAGGCACAGCTCTTCCTGTTGAAGGGGTTTGTCTTTAGGCACAAGTGCCACCAACAAGGGTACCCTCCCTCTTTTTCCCATGACCACTGGAGGTTTGGGCGTTGTTTCCCTTGTCTTCCTTTCATCAAAAACCACCTTTCTTCCCTTCCCTCAATGGTTTGTGCTGGGGCTTTGGAGGGGGGCTTCCTCTCACCCTCCAAGATTCCAGGTCCGATTGATCCATCCGGTAGGTACAGAAGCGCATGCGCGAGAACGCGCGCGACTTGGAGTCGATGTCCGTGGAGTCGGTCTCAGATTCGCTGGAAGACGATGAGATCTCTTCCGTGGAAGAGGACTCAGAGGTACAGTGCTGACTTCCAGCGACTGAGGCTCAGCGGATCCGGCGCGAATCTTTTTGGGATCATGGATCTCTTCCCAGCGGTCCCGGTATTTTCCAAAGACTTGGGGAGCCAAAAGGCCCCTGTGCCATGCATGCAGCTTCTTTTGGACGTCCAGCCGGGCATTTTGAGGACCTCCGGGAGGTTTTGCCCCATGTAAAGAGGTTTTGGTCCAGAGCTGGCGCTGGTGGTGAGAGCATTGAACAGCTCTCTTCGTGACACACAGCCTTGCACAATGCTAGGAGTGGTGGCAGTTGTTTAGCTTTCACCAATCATTGGGAGTGCGCAGGAGCAACAGTCAAAACCTGCAGTCCCAATTCCGAGAAATCCCCGAGACTCGGTTTGCAACTGTTTAAGCAACCAGCCGCACAGCCCATAGAATTGGTGCGGATCTTCGCTCTTTTGAGTTACCATAGATTTTGGGTAGAGCCCGTAGAGCCCGTAGATGCGCTTTGACTTTGAGTCAAGTTATGGGGTTCCAACTTTTCCCCGCTTGCTTCATACACGGAGCCTGTCTATGAGGCGCGGCGGTCAACAAATCCAGGTCCATTTGGCTTCGGATGGGGGAACCTCGGAATTTCCGCAAAAGCCAAGGGACAAACCCCCAGTTTTAGCATGCCCAAAACGATACACCTGGACCGTTTCTTACAAGATTCCGATTTGCCCTCAAGGGACTTTTGACATCACCGATTTTTGGATAAAGGCCATTCGAAATAAGCTTGCTTGTGGTTGATGTGGGTGGGACATCTTTGAGGCCCGGAAGAAAGCATAGCATGACCTCCCCCAGTTCTAGGCATCTCTCCTTGCAGCTATCCAAACCCTGCCCCATTTCAGCCAGAGATCGGCCACTCCCCTACTGGCGGATCGGGTTGGGAGCGAGCTCGCCGCTTGCGATGGTGTCGACCGACAGCTGGCGCATGCAGAAGCATGCGTGGATTGCCGCAATGCTTGCTATGGTCACGGCTTACGCGGACGTCGTCAGCCTGATGCGATACCATAGCTTCGCCAGCATTCTCACCGGCAACGTGATTATGCTCTGCAGGGCAATGGTGGATCCGCAAACGAACCTCATTCGGTCTTAGTTTTTTTGGTGTGGTGCCTGTTGTGTAAGGATTCTTCCAGTACACCCTAGGGTTACACCCTCGCAAAATTGCCAAAACTAGTCCCAATAAACAACCAGAACCAGGTTATATCTGGAAATAGCAAGAGTGCGGCGATTCCTAGCGGGTGTAATCCCATTGTGCAATTGGAAAATCCTTGGATGTGTGCAAGTATGTTTAGTTCTTGGGTTGTAGCTTTCCCATCAAGCTGCGCCTCCCTGGCCAGTCGTTTTCACAATTTCAGGGCTTTTCCAGACATTTCACTTGTCGCTTTTGGAGTGGGACGCCCCTGGTTCCCCACAGCAGTGGCTTGCCCGGGATCCATGATTCAGCATGTTGTTTGCATGGTCACTTCCGTGCCTTGATTCACTTGCGAACCGTCAAAGCCCCAGGCCCTAAACCCTAAACCCTAATTAAACCCTAAACCCTTCTTGTGTCAATCCATGTTGGTTTCGTTGCTCCCTTTCGGAACATGACCGTTTCCCCGGCAGCGCACAGGTTTTTTGCTGCTTTGCCACGGGGTCGAAGACCAATGCTTCGTTCAGCGGTTTCCCTTTTTGTCTAAAGGCCTTTTCGTTGCTTTCGAAGCGCGGGATTGCTTGTGGAAATACATCAGAGAGGCAGGAGCATAGGTGTCCTTTTTGGTTGCTTTGCTAGAAAAATAGATGTTCCTGGTTGACCTGGTGGTTTAATCATCTACCAGGGCCATCTATTTCCCCTAAAAGGACACCTATGAGCAGGAGGGGGGGCGATGGGGGGGAGGGGGGCTCATTGTGCATCGTTTTGACGCTTAAGTAGATGGCTAGCCTTTGGTGGATCCTTAGCCCCGTGGATCTGCGTAAGTAGGGCCCCCCCCCCCCCGTAAGAGGGAAGAGTATGTATAATGTGCCGGGGAGAGGTCTGGGCATCAACATCACACTGAGAGCTGGCTTTCAGGCAGATCTTGTATAGGAATTGATTTCATAAAATTGCAAATCTTAGTCTGAGAAATTGGCTTCCAGGGGAATTTGGTAGGAATGAAATTGCAGATATTACAAATTAATTTGTAAGGTAAAGAAAATATTCTCCAAAATAACAAATATTACAAATTTTACAAATTCTAGTCTGAGAAATTAGCTTTCAGGGGAATTTGGTAGGAATTAAATTACAAATTTTACAAATTTTACAAATTTTCCAAATTTTACAAATTAATTTGTAAAATTTGTAAAATATCAAAAAAATCTGGCCCAAAATTACAAATTTTACAAATTTTACAAATTCTAGTCTGAGAAATTAGCTTCCAGGGGAATTTGGTAGGAATTAAATTACAAATTTTACAAATTTTACAAAATTTACAAATTTTACAAATTAATTTGTAAAATTTGTAAAATATCAAAAAAATCTGGCCCAAAATTACAAATTTTACAAATTTTACAAATTCTAGTCTGAGAAATTAGCTTCCAGGGGAATTTGGTAGGAATTAAATTACAAATTTTACAAATTTTACAAATTTTACAAATTTTACAAATTTTACAAATTAATTTGTAAAATTTGTAAAATATCAAAAAAATCTGGCCCAAAATTACAAATTTTACAAATTAATTTGTAAAATTTGTAAAATATCAAAAAATCTGGCCCAAAATTACAAATTTTACAAATTTTACAAATTCTAGTCTGAGAAATTAGCTTCCAGGGGAATTTGGTAGGAATTAAATTACAAATTTTACAAATTTTACAAATTTTACAAATTAATTTGTAAAATTTGTAAAATATCAAAAAAATCTGGCCCAAATTTTACAAATTTTACAAATTCTAGTCTGAGAAATTAGCTTCCAGGGGAATTTGGTAGGAATTAAATTACAAATTTTACAAATTTTACAAATTTTACAAATTAATTTGTAAAATTTGTAAAATATCAAAAAAATCTGGCCCAAAATTACAAATTTTACACATTTTACAAATTAATTTGAAAAAATGTAAAATATCAAACAAATCTGGCCCAAAATTACAAATTTTACAAATTTTACAAATTCTAGTCTGAGAAATTAGCTTCCAGGGGAATTTGGTAGGAATTAAATTACAAATTTTACAAATTTTACAAATTTTACAAATTAATTTGTAAAATTTGTAAAATATCAAAAAAATATGGCCCAAAATTACAAATTTTACAAATTTTACAAATTAATTTGTAAAATTTGTAAAATATCAAAAAATCTGGCCCAAAATTACAAATTTTTACAAATTCTAGTCTGAGAAATAGCTGCTTCCAGGTGAATTGGGTAGGAATTAAATTACAAAATTTTGTTAAATTTTACAAATTTTACAAATTGATTTGTAAAATTTTAAAATATCTAAATTCAAAATTGTAAATTGTACAAATTCGAGTCTGAGAAATTAGCTTCCAGGGGAATTTGGTAGGAATTAAATTACAAATTTTACAAATTTTACAAACTAATTTGTAAAATTTGTAAAATATCAAAAAAAATCTGGCCCAAAATTACAAATTTTACAAATTAATTTGTACAATTTGCAAGATTTCAATAAAAGGCCCATAATTACAAAATTTTACAAATTTTACAAATTCGAGTCTGAGAAATTGGCGTCCAGGGGAATTTGGTAGGAATTAAATTACAAATCTTACAAATTTTACAAATATTACAAATTAATTTGTAAAATTTGTAAAATATAAAAAATATGGCCCAAAATTACAAATTTTACAAATTAATTTGTAAAATTTGTAAAATATCAAAAAAATCTGGCCCAAAATTACAAATTTTACAAACTTTTACAATTAATTTTGTAAAATTTGTAAAATTTGTAAAATTTGTAAAATTTGTAAAATTTGTAATTTTAATTCCTACCAAATTCCCTGAAGCTAATTTCAGACTAGAATTTGTAAAATTTGTAAAATTTGTAATTTTGGGCCATATTTTTTTGATATTTTACAAATTTTACAAATTAATTTGTAAAATTTGTAATTTTGGGCCATAATTTTTTGATATTTTACACATTTTGCAAATTAATTTGTAAAATTTGTAAAATTTGTAAAATTTGTAAAATTTGTCATTTAATTCCTACTAAATTCCCCTGGAAGCTAATTTCTCAGACTATAATTTGTAAAATTTGTAAAATTTGTAATTTTGGGCCAGATTTTACAAATTTTACAAATTAATTTGTAAAATTTGTAAAATTTGTAATTTTGGGCCTTTTTTTTTTTTTTTCATATTTTACAAATTTTACAAATTAATTTGTAAAATTTGTAAAATTTGTAATTTAATTCCTACCAAATTCCCCTGGAAGCTAATTTCTCAGACTAGAATTTGTAAAATTTGTAAAATTTGTAATTTTGGGCCAGATTTTTTTGATATTTTACAAATTTTACAAATTAATTTGTAAAATTTGTAAAATTTGTAATTTTGGGCCTTTTTTTTTTTTTTTCATATTTTACAAATTTTACAAATTAATTTGTAAAATTTGTAAAATTTGTAATTTAATTCCTACCAAATTCCCCTGGAAGCTAATTTCTCAGACTAGAATTTGTAAAATTTGTAAAATTTGTAATTTTGGGCCAGATTTTTTTGATATTTTACAAATTTTACAAATTAATTTGTAAAATTATTTGTAAAATTTGTAATTTAATTCCTACCAAATTCCCCTGGAAGCTAATTTCTCAGACTAGAATTTGTAAAATTTGTAAAATTTGTACTTTTGGGCCATATTTTTTGATGTTTTACAAATTTTACAAATTAATTCGTAAAATTTGTAAAAATTGTAATTTTGGGCCAGGTTTTTTTATATTTCACAAATTTTGCAAATTCATTTGTAAAATCTGGAAATTTCACTTTTTACACATGTACTTGCGACATTTTGTGAAATGCTTAATTGTTAAGCAAATTTGTTGGAATTTGGCATAGTTCAGAAACTAATCTGCAAAATGTGTAAAACTTGTAAGGTAACTCCAGCCAAATCTCCCCGGAAAGCAAATTCCCCAGAGTACGTTCAATGTCAGCAAACATCCGATTTAGAATTACAAGCTGGATTTGAACAAACATTGCTCGGGGGTTGCAAATTGCACAAGCTAGTTTGTAAAAAGTCGGTCCAGAATTACACAAATTACAAGTAAAGGTGTGAACATTGTAAACTTGATAAAACTTGATCACCGTCCTTCCCTTAACGGCTTTTTTGGGTCAAGTTTGTTTCATTTTGAATCGGTTGAAGTT